TGGAGTCCTGTTAAATATGAATGTACTAGGCATCGGTTTGACTAACCGTTAGAGTATATTTATACATTTGTTGCATTTGCATAGTTATCACCATCAGACACTGGAAGTTAGGCAGCTCCCAAGATCTTGGTGGTGTGTTCATTAGTGTTAAAGCATTGAAATGGGAGTGAAATGGGCATCAATCGTTGTAGCTTGCTTACAAAAGGCATTACAAATAGTGCAGATTACTCAATTTTATGTTACACAACAGCAAATAATTGCTGCGTGCGACAAATAATTGGGCTTAAAATGGCAACAGGATCAACTAAGTGTCTAGTTGTGCAAAGTACGTGAAGTACGTAAAGCGGCAACAGAGATGCAAATAGGGAAGACAAGTTCCACTATTAGGGTAAGCAATTTGTGAGGGGATCTAAAACGAAGGCGGTAACACACCAAGGGAAATGTAAGCTTTGATAGCCCATTCAGTACTTTCCAGACAGTGCTTCTGACCGAGAAGTGATGGACTGATTAATTATATGCAGTTCCTAAAAAGCCATTCTACCTCAATCTCCTTCACAATCAAAAGGTACGTAGAAAGTAGAATAATGGTACTAGAACTGAATTATAACACAAATAACACATTCCGAAGAAATCTCAGACATCTGTGGAGACAGTGAAAAAGGTTTTAAGCTATTATTAAACTGTTTCAAATGCATAAGCAATTGAATAAACAAGCACATGCATATATAGCGTCTCGAAAACTCCCTGAAGACGAAAGAAGATACAATACTCGGGCAGAATATATATTCAGCGCGGAGAAGATGTCTGGGCTATTGGCATGGCCCAAAAGGCCAGCCCACCCAGCGAGGTACAAGGGGCTCATTCAAAGTACAAAAGTGGCGCCTCAACAGTACCGAGAGATAAACCACTATCGTATTGCACATACTTTGTGTGCCACAAAAAAACGATCTCCGTAATCTTTCTACCTAATGTAATAAACAGTGCTGAAACATCATTTTGTTCATTTAATAGGGACAGTTATGGTACAATGTTGTTTTTAAAAAGGGATATCTTTGGCACCTAAAGGTATTGTTTCACACCGTTAATAAACCCTAATTTGAGACTTAATGATTCGAATGAAGTATGTGTCACTGCTGAGAAAATTTGGCTTTCCGCTCAAACAAAATTGTAGATGGATAAGTCTCTAGTGGCAGAACAGATGGTTTAAAAACACCTTGGACCATTATAGACAAGCACGAGGAGATTTTGTTGCTGTGGTCTCATTAATAAATTTCCATGCCTGATAAACGCAAGAATTATTAAAGGCTAAAAATTGTTTGTCGCATTAATATTTTAGCAAGTGTTGATTTAATGCAAGCTGTTATTAACATAGCAATAAGTGAAGACGACGTGCATGCAAATAGTATCCTCAAACAAAGACCAATGAAACAGTGGGAGATGGCGCATATTTTTATTTTTCTGGAATATTAGTCATACTCTCACAGGTGACTGCGTGACCATGGAATGGAAGTTCACTGCTACTAGTTGAGTAACTGCTTAACTGGTCGAATTGTCTATTCTGTAGACTAGTGTTGGTACAGTAGTTGCAATGATAAGAGACCAGATACTTGTTTACTACGATGTAGACGCAGTACGAATATTTTTGAGAGCTTTTGTGCGTACATTATTGTAACTGCTAGCGTCATTGACTTTATTATCTAAATTGGTTGGCTCATTAAAAAGTCACTGTGGCAAAATCTAGTGCTACCGGTCCGCCTATTGGTGCTCGTTGCAAATATTATTTCAATACCGAGCTTAAAAATACTACTTCAAGCAATTCAAATGAGCACATTCTTTAAACACGGCATTGTTATATCCCTAAAATGTGCGAGAACCTACAATTGCCAAATGTAAGTGAGACTAACCTCTAACCAATGATCTAGCAACACAGTCCTGGATGATTTTTAAACACTGAGGTGTGGTAATTGAATAAATATTTCCACAATCGGAAATCCTCCAATTCTGTAGTTCACACACAGATTTGACATGGAGTAGGATTAGTTTCTTAAAAACGAGTGACTAATTTGTATTCAGCACTTACTCTCAAACAGTTATGCAGTATATCATGGAAACGATAACAATTTTGGACAGTGGATTACTTGCATCGAAATAGCTGGAACTCATTTTCACATTTACACCATCCTAATCGCATTTTACGGCATGATCTAAACCTTGTCAAGAACAAGACCTTATTTAACAACTAATTTTTTTTAACATCATGATGAAATTAATCACTGCAAATCTTTTTTCTTGGCAAGTAACTTTTGAAAACAGTGAATTCTGGACTAGTAAATTACTGCCCCTAGCCTTCTTTATGGAGCAAAACCATGGCCAAATTGAAAACGCAACCTATTTTTCTAGTCTTCGAAGTTATTGCGACATCGTGGCATTATATTTAAGTGAAATTTGAGGCAAGAGGAAGTGTCCTTCTTAAAAATTGCGCCAGATTATATTGGTGATTACCCGAAGTGCGGCAAACTGCACGCAGCAAAATAAGTTGTAATTACCAAAGACTACCTCGAATTAAATTGCGACAGGCCAGTGGTTGCATAAAATAACAGAATGTTAAATTGAAGAAAGTAAGCAATAGCCTAAGAAATTATCTGTTTAAGTAACAAGACTTGATTAAAACTCCCATCAAGTGATTGTCTGATCAGGCGCATTCCAAATGCTCAGTGTTCAATTTGGGTCTAATGATGCCATAAACACCGCTGCTTTGCTTTTCATCTTTGGTCAGTCGATCAAAATTCCATTTATTTGTTATTGATATCACAATCCTGATATTCAGTAGGTGAATTTTAAAGAAGACGACGACATTAATATTTAACGGCCTTACCTCTCCTTCCGCATCTTTTTCTACCTCGGGTCACAGTTAGCATAACCACGGGGTTGGCTATTAGGAATCTGCTTGGATTCGAAGAGTTTAAGACAGTGGAAGGTAATTAGGAGGACAAAAGTTTCTCAAAGCTCCGTGATTCTGTAGACCTGCAGACCAGAAAATGAGGCCAACCATCACGACGAGCATGCTGTTTTGAATGACATTCAATCGGATTTAAAGAGGCAATGGAGTTCTACAAGTTCAACTTACCTGTGAATGAGGAGACGGTGCACGTCTATCATCACGAGCAGAAGAATGAACTACTGCAAAGGGATGTGAGAAAACAAACAGCTACATATTGGTATCTATCAGTAGCATTACGTAAATAAAGAGAAGAGAACTAGCAGAGCAAAATTTAACATAAATAGAATAATGTTGTCTGTAGTTGGCCATGCAAAATCTCGGTGTCTTTTATTAAAAATAGCGCTAGTGCGAAATAGGTGGGATGTATTTAAGTAACATAAAAATTTCTGTCTAAGTATAAAATTCGTGCAATTCAAGGTAAGTGAAAAAAATGAAG